AGTGAGTAAGGGCACTGGCTCCTTGCCCAGAGGACCCAAGTTTAATACAAACACCCACATGGTGCTCACAGCCATCTGTAACTCCACTTCCAGGAGATCTGACACCCTCTTCTGGACTCCAAGGCACCAGGCATGTATATGGTGCACACATATATTCAGGCAAACAAACATATCCACATAAAATAATAAAATAGTTTTTAATTAGATGAACTGTTATTCTAGGCAAAATCATTGGGTCTAATGGTCCTGTTTTCAAATAAATAATGTTATTTATTTTAAACAGACATTAACAATAACTTTCTAGGAAGAATCTAATGATGATAGGATGGTTAAAGGGAAATGTGAAGTAATGAATGCTTCCATGAAAGTAAGTAAGGCTTCCAGTCAACAATCTCAATTTACACCCTCAAAATAAAGAGCAAACTAATCTCTGGAAACCAGAAGAATGAAAATGGGACTAAGAAAAGAATCTTAAAAACATAGGAAATACACATACACTAGAATAAAAAATCAGTGAAATAGAAAAACTCAATAAATACACTGGTTTCTTTACCCCTTGTACTCCCTGCCCATCAGTGGGCTTAGAAGTCACTTGGCCACTAGTGGGCAAGGAATGTTGAATGATATCCTAATCAATAAATGTGATGCACCAAATCAAGAGGATAAAGAGCAAAAACATCAGGATCCCATCAACAAATGCAGAAATAGGAAAGGTGTCACAACTCAACACACTTTCTAATAAAATCTGTCAGTAAAGTAGATAGATGATACATAGATAGACGGGCAGACAGACAGAATACATATGTATGTATGTACATGTACATGGGATTGATTAGAATGCCTTACAGGCTATGGTCTAACTAGTCCAACATTGACTATCTACCAAAACAAAGTCCAAGAATCCAGTAGTTATTCAGTCCATAAGGCTGGATGTCTCCGATGACCTTCAATATATCCCATAATCCCTAAGAACTGGGATCTAAAGCCAATAAAAGGATGGACTGGGCAGTGAGAGGAAGGCAAGCAGGCAAAGAGCAGAGCTTCCATCTTCCGTGTCCTTTATATGGGCTGCCAGCAGGAAGTGTGGCCCAGATTACAGGTGGATCTTTTCACCTATATCCCAAGAGATCTGTGTTAAAAGTGGATCTTCCCACCTCAAAGATAAGGATTAGAAGATGGATCTTCCCACATCAAATGATTTAAATAGGAAGGAAATCATACCAGTGTGCCTAGCCATTTGGATTTTAGTTAATTCCAGATGTAGCCAAGTTGGCAACCAAAATAGTCATCACGCCCAACAAAATGTTTTCAGAAAGCCTTTAAATAAAAAAAGGTAAGATGCCCAGGAATAAAGCACCCAAGATTAAGCATGTGTTACTCCATGTGTCCTGCATCTCAAACATTAGTGAAACACTGATCCTCTGAAGAAACAACACAGTAAGAAAACTAAGGAGAAGGATGCAGAATATTCTAAAAGGTTTTTTTTTTCTCTAAGATTTATTATGTATATAGTTTCCACCTGCAGGCCAGAAGAGGACACCAGATCTCATTACAAATGATTGTGAGCTACCATATGGTTGCTGGGAATTGAACTCAGGACCTCTGGAAGAGTAGCCAGGGCTCTTAACCTCTGAGCCATCTGTCCAGCCCTAAATACTCTAAAATTTTGGTCAAGAAAAGGAACAGAAAATAAAACCCTCCAGTAACAGATTGCCATGAGGTAAAGCTGTCCTCACTGAGAGCTCCATCTCCAAAGTCTAAAGCCAGCTGCAGTGACTGAGGTAATGTCATCTTGTCCTGACTTTTTGTGTCTGTGAAGACACTTCTCACCTTTTCTCCAACAGCCACATCCACCTCGGCAAAGCATTTGGCACTCTCCATGACCCTAACTATGGTCCAGGTGTATTAACCAAAATAGCTGGTGTCTGTGCAAGATTAAACATAAAATTAAAAGAAATAAAGGAACATGTAAATAAAAAACAACTATTGTGGAATGTCTGGAAAATACTGATGAGCTTTGTAAGAAAACAGATATTACTTGACTATCCTAAATACCTCACTGGTATAGTCCCCCACCTTGAGCAGTGATGTCACAGTGATTTGTGATTTTAAACCACTGTATAGCTCGCAGCTCAGTCTCCAAGAGACTTTTTCAGATGCACAAGCCCACTCTCATTCTGGCCATTACTTAGAAAGACTCATAACTTTTCATAGATTAATCAGCATCATTGGCAATGACTAGCTCATGTGGATCATTTCATTTGGAGGCCCCAGCTCCATCTCTGTGGTACTCAGCCTTGTTCCCTGCCTTCCCTCCAAGGCAGAGGTTTTGGGCGTGGGCCACAGTACTCCATGATAAACCTTTCAGGAAAAGAATTTGTACTTATCAAGTTGATGAAAGAAAATGCTGAACATACTTTCAGAAGGGGAGGCTAAAATCTTTTTAGATTTGGATTAGCCTATAAAAAAATGTCTGCCATAAATCAAACAATGAAAGGGAAGATTAGTAAGAATGTCACATACACAATTTAAGTAAAACATATCTCTCTGAACAGATTAAGATAGGTCTCTTCTATATCCTAGAATCTAATATTTATATGTATAATTCAGCTATCATTTGGCTTAAAAGGGCTTATTGGGAAATGTTACCATATACACTATTTTCTACAGAGAAAATATTTTACGGTTTAAAATAAATAAATTTTTAAAAATTCACACCAAAAAATACAGCATAATGGCTTCTGCCACTGCAGTAGACCAGCCTTCTTACTGACTCCCAATAAGAAGAGGATGAGACCCTCTCCCAAAATGCAACACAGGATCCAACTGAACAGCAGATCTTGCCAAACTCAAGAGCATCCTTCCTGCTTTCTTCTGATGCCTTTTGGTACAATAACTGCACCAGACCACCCATCTGGGTGACACCAGGCTTAGGTCTTATCTTCCAGGTACCAAATTCTGCATCTCTGAAAGGTGGCTGCAGATGATGCCTCCCAAAATCTCTCCCTCTCAAAATCTCTCCTGCACACAGCCCAAACAAGCAAGGGGTAAAATGGGTCCCATCTGTTCATCTGAGGGTATTATCCCCTGATAAGAAATAGAAATTTGACTTCACAGAGGTGAAGCCTCCTTACACTAGGGATGAATATCTGTTAGTGTGTGTTGACACCTTCTTAGTGAAGATGCTTAACTTAACATTAGTGCAGCCATGACAGGCTGTAGACTTATAATACTAAGACTAGGCCTCACCATTATAATAACCAGGAAAAGCCACAAACTGTACCCTGTAGAGAACCAATCAGAACTGAGAAAAACAAGCACTAAATGCTCTAAACCATAAAGAATAGCTTATATAATCTCCATATAAGCTGTCAGTTTCCTTGTAGTATCACCAGTACCAACCCCTGTTTGACAGAATTCTGTTACCTCACTCCTGACCAATCAGGAGTTCAACCCCAATCTGAATCTGGAATTCCCCTACACCCCCATCCTTTACTCCTTAAAAACCCTGAATAACTGAGATCAGTGCTCTCCCTGATCCAACCTCTGTGTCAGAATGGATGGGAAGCCCAAGCTTAAGCTTGCAGTAAAGGCTCTTTGCTTTTGCATAGGAATTCCAACTCTTGGTGGTTTCTGGGGGGCCCATTACTCAGGCATAACACTTAGAATGGATAGAAGCCTTTGCTACTGACAGTGACCAAGACTATTTTACATAAGATTATTTCTAGGTTTGGACTGCCCCTGTCAATCACATAAGAGAATGGACCTGCCTTCACTTTGTACATAACTTACATGGTCAGTAAGGCCTTAAATGTAACCTGGAAATTGTGCCTACTGACCTCAGAGTTCAGGACAGTGTCCAAGACAGAACTGAACTGTTAAGCCGGCCTTCTCTAAATTAATTTTGAAAACCAGTGAAAATTAGTCCAACCTTTTACCCATGGTCCTTCTTAGGGTAAAATATATCACTTATAAGGCAGCATTCACCTCCTATGAGATTGCATTTGGAAGGCCACCTGTCAGGGTCTCTGCAAACACCACAGCCAGCAGAGCTAGTCCACAAGAAGCAAGCAGGAAGCTCAGTCTAACCTGACTCAGTGGCCAGGGTTGGGTCAAACTTTGAAAGTCTGACCACAGGTACTTTATTTTAGGCATATTTAAGCACAGTACAATTGGGAAAAATGTTCCTTGCGATAACTAATTCAATCTCCTGTTCACGGCAAAACTTGAGACATGACTACATCCAAATTCTTTTCAAGCACAAGTGACATCTTCCATGCAGACAGTTCTACACATTAACTGAGGACACAAGCTCACTACAGGGTCTGCAGGAGGACAGTGCTGTGGACTGACTGAGATAAAAACCTCGAGATAAGGATCTGGGGAAGCTGCTGTGGCCTGGCCATGCAGATAGCACAGAGGTCACCAGGCTATTAACCACATCTGTTCCCAGCCTTCTGGGCAGAAAACAGATTATCCATCTCTCTCTTTGAAGAGACAACCCTTAGAGGTTAATATTCCCAATTTCCCTAGTGCTTATCTGTGAACACAAGGACCTACATGCCTCTTGCATCCCACCTCCCACCCCCTGATTTTTTTATTCAAGACAAGGTTTCTTTGCATAGCTATGGCTGTCCTGGAACTAGATTTGTAGACTAGGCTGACCTCGAACTGGAAGAGCTGCCTGCCTTTGCCTCCAGAGTGCTGGGATTAAAGGTGTGTGCCACCATTGCCTGGGTTTTTTTGCTTGTTTTTTTTTTGTTTTTTTTTTGTTTTGTTTTGTTTGTTTGGTTTTTGGTTTTGTTTTTTGGTTTGTTTGTTTGCTTGTTTCGAGACAGGGTTTCTCTGTGTAGTTTTGGTGCCTGTCCTGGATATCATTCTGTAGACCAGGCTGGCCTCGAACTTACAGAGATTCACCTGGCTCTGCCTCCTGAGTGCTGGGATTAAAGGCATGTACCACCACCACCGCCTGGCTCTTTTTTTTTGTTTGTTTGTTTTTGTTTTGTTTTAGAGGCATTTTATTTAGATAACTAAAAAATATTGGATATTCAGAAGCAGTCAATGTACAATGAAAGAGATCAAACCAGTTACTTTATCATGTATTTCCTCTTCTTTACAACTAAGCAAAGAGAAAAAGACATTCTGCTTTAAGGGAAAAGTCAGAAAAATAGGCCAATATATCTTTCTTCTCCATAACATAAACAGCTACAAGAAACTGAAGTGTAAAATGGAAATTGTACGTTGGCTTGTTCACCTGAGACAGCAGGCTATGGTACTCCCTGAGCACACCCTCCTGCCTGCACCTCACACACTCAGCTATTTGCACTCACAGGACACGGAGTAGTTGTTCGTGCGCTGGCACTAATTCATATTCCCAATCGTTTCTGCCCTCTTTGCCGCAGGCAGAGAGTAACTCTGAAGGCTGATGCTTTTCTCTGCTTGTTCAGTCCATAAACTAGATGATAGTGTCTAGGGCATACATCTGATGCTCAGGCCTTAACTTCAGGAGTTGAAGAGTGGATGGAATCTGAATTCTCTGAAGCAATTTCTTCCAGCTCCTCTTCCGATGTTTCTGGAAAACCGATCTTTGGCTTGGCCAGCTCACCACTGTCTTCTTCAGGAAGCACGCATTTCCAAAGGCCATAGGTTTTTCCTACCACAGTTTGCCACAATCTCAATGTCCCATCTTCAGAACCACTGGCATAGAGTTCCCCACCAGGACTAAATCTTACATAGTGAATGGGACCAAAGTGACCTTTGTAGGATTCTAATTCTTCTCCACTATTATAATCATACTTATACAGTTTAAAGTCTTCTCCACCTGCAACAAGAAACTCCTTCTCAGGATGAAGAGATGCAGAATTGATGGTTGCAGGAGCTTCAAAGGATTTAATGGACTCCAGACTAAGTGCACTATGAAAAGCAATAGTCCGCCCATAAGTAAGCACCAGGACCTCTCCCTCAGGGATATATTCCATGCTGCTCAGGGACATGTTAAAATTCACAGATTTCACTTCTGTCATCGTAGCATGATCCCAGAGACGAACAGTTTTATCATCAGCTGAAAGTATTTGTTTATCCTCACTGCACCACAGAGCCTTTTTAAAACCGGAAGTGTGACCACTAATTTCCTTAGGTTCTGCCTCAGGTTTGTTCAAGTCATATATGCGCAGCAGTTTATCCTGTCCCCCAGTTAACAGGTAGTTGCTATCCTGTGTGAAATCCACAGTCTTGACAATGTGCTTATGAGCCAGGGTCATCAATTCATCTCCTGAGACAGCATCCCACACTTTGGCTGTGAAATCTGCAGCAGCTGTAGCAGCTTTGGTGGCATCCTTATTCAATGTTGCACCCCAGACAGCACCTTTATGACCCAAAAAGGTTCCAGTCCAGTCTCCCGTATATCCCTGGCGGAGCATAGGTTTGCCATCTTTGCAAGCACTGATCAGAAAGTAGCCTTATGGTGTGATGCCGCTGAAGGCCAAATCCACCAAGGGCTGCCTGTGGCCCAAGCAGGTGAGCAGCCTCTGCCTCATGGCCATGGCAGAGGCAGCCTAGGCGGCGGTGGTGGCTGCAGCCGCAGTGGCCAGTGGGTGAGGAGAAGCGCAGACCTGGGGGTCATGGTTGTCCTTCTCCTTGGCCACAGCGCCTTGGGCTGCCTAGGGCCCCCCACTGACACTGCACTGACACCAAGGCCAGGTCAGGAGTCCCCACGAAGCTTGGCTGCCAAGGGAGGGGCAGGGAGGGAGGAAGGAGGGGAGGGGAGGGCCTGACAGCCGGCCTGCCACCACCCACCTTCCACACTGGTCTGGCTCTTTTTTATATTTAAAAAAAAAAAAAATGTATCTGTAATAGAGGCCGAAGCTGACTGCATTGCCTGTGTGGCTAGTCTAATTTATATAGGCAAGTTTAAGAAAATTATGAGAACAGCTAACAGAGGACCAAGGAGAGGAAAAGCCATCTCAACCATGAGAGCCACTCAAATGTCACTTGAAGATTTTGTCTTTCTATTCATGTAGATCATTAATTAGACCATCGATAATTGAGTAAAATCAGACACATTAAAGCAACAGATGCCAGGAAATTGTTGACGATAAAGATTATGCTTGAACAACAGATAATCTATGGTAGCTCTGTTTAGTAAAACTGTTATTCTCAATTCACCCATCTCTTGATTAATTACTGTTAATATTTTTTTTTGTAATATTAGGAGTTCTACTAATCACACAGTTCTCATTATTGAAACTCTTTTTGTATTCCAGGAATTACTCCTGGGAGTAGCAAAACAACACACTCTCTGCTATTACAGGTGTGCCTTTTTCTCCCCCCTAACAAAGGCATTTGGATTCTGCACGGACAAGCTGAGACTTAGCATGTCATATAGTCAGTAAACATAGCAGCACCTCCTTTGGATCAGTAGTATTGTGTCCTTGTTTCCCCCAAAGTCTGGGCTTGATAAGTTAATGTCTTGATGTCTCCCCAAGTTACTCACTTCCTCTTCCTCTTGGGACTTCTCCTTTTGATGGGTTTGTCGGCTCTCTTCAGACAGTTCATGTGTCCAGTGGTCTCTGGGATGCTGTCCTGGTTGGATGCATCACAGTGCGAGCTATCTGGGACTTCATTCATTTCTGGAAAGACACAATCACAACCTCACCTGGTGTTAGAAGAACATCTGGTCCTTTCTATTGATTAGTTTCTAGATCTTTCCATTTAAAATATGCTTTACTTTGTGTCTCCTTGAGGGCAAATGATTTGGGGCAGCAGGAGAAGAATTATTCTTTAAAGTGAAGAGATTGAAGTTAGCATGGCTAAATATAGCACTGTATGTGGGGATTTAGGTGGGTGTGTACGCTCCTTTTTTGTTAAAGTTGTCATTTAATAAGTATTTGATGGTGCTGTTCCACAACAACCTGCTACCCAGTTGTAATAGGAGTCCTAGAAAGCAAGTGTACAGCACGTGGGAGGCAGAGGCAGGCAGATCTCTGAGTTTGTTGACAGCCTGGTCTATCTATCAAGGACAGCCAGGGCTACACAGAGATGCCCTGCCTTGAAAAAAAAAAGGAAATATATAAAGAGGTATTTGACAAAGCCAAGTTTTACATGTGACACAATGCTATTGTTGAGTTTCAAACCCAGGACAAATGGCTGAGATGCCTATTGAACACACCAAAGTGGACCTGGCCTCCAGGTTCTCCCAGCATCCCTCAGTCCCTACTGTTCCAGGGTTTGACCTATACCTCACCCCTTACCCTGAACTCTCCAGCCCAGCAGCTGGGCTGCCCTTCCCCCAGAGGCTCTTCCCTCTTCCCTGTAGGGTCACACATTTTGGTGACCCCCCCCCCCCGTTTGGGACCTTTGGCCTCCTGGCTGCAGCACTTGGTTCCCCTCCCTTCTTTCTCTCCCCCCCCCACCCCCTCCCACATGGCCCACCTCAGTCTGATCATGTCCACTCTGCACTCTCCCAGATGTACCTGCTTCTACCTATGCTCTCCTTTTTAATACAGTAAACTTTCTCCTCCACCATCCCTAGGAGCAGTCATGTGTTTTCCTTTCCTATTTATTTCTTTTTTCATTCAGGTGTTTTCCTAGCCCCGCTCCCATGTCACACCTGGGGCTGTGCTCTGCAGGTGTCAAGTCAGGGAGAGGCTCTACACAGGCCTGCAGAGCACTCTGAGCACCGGTCTCTCCACACTTGGCAGCAAATAAGCATTCAGCTACAGGGAGGGGCAGGAAGTGTCCAAGTGAATTAGCCAGGAAGCCTCGAGGGGGGAGTTGGTAAGCCAGCCTCTGAGCAACCAGGAGCTCAGAATTAGCGGAGTGGAAAGTGGTGAATAGACAGCGCGGACTTGTCACTGTGATTCTGGCTGCGGTCTGCTGAGACACCAGCTGAAAGGCAATGGTGGAATTCCGTCTCAATCTTTTCTGATTCTGTCGCCCATGGTCTCTGAGGGCACAGCTGCCAGCGAGTGAGGTGAAGGGGCCGCGGGGTGTGGGAGCCCAGGACAACAGTGTCCTAGCCTCTCCTCTCAGTTCACAGTCCTGCCTCCAGCAAGCGTGGGAGCGAGGGAGCCGGGCAGCCCGGGAGCGGGGCCGTGATGGAGCGAGGGAGTGGGGCAGCTCGGGAGCACGGGAGCCAGGTAGCCAGGGCGTGCTGTAGCGGGGCAGCGATAGAGTGCGGGAGCGAGGGAGTGGGGCAGCTCGGGAGCGGAGCAGTGATGGAGCTGAGCAGTGATGGAGCGAGGGAGTGGGGCAGGTAGAGAGCGGGGCAGCTCCGGAGCGCGGGAGCCAGGTAGCCAGGGCGTGCTGTAGCGGGGCAGCGATGGAGCGCGGGAGCCGGGCAGCACGGGAGCCGGGCAGGGAGGGAGCCAAGGAGCGGGGCAGCGATGGAGCAAGGGAGCAGGGCAGCGCGAGAGCCCGGCAGCGATGGAGCGAGGAAGCCGGGCAGCGCGGGAGCCCGGCAGCGATAGAGCGAGGGAGCTGGGCAGTAAGGGATTGCGGGAGCGGGGCAGTGCGGGAGCCTGGCAGCGCAGGAGCCAAGGAGCGGGGCAGCGCAGGAGCCAGACAACGATGGAGCAAGGGAGCTGGGCAGCGCGGGAGAGGGGCAATGATGGAGTGAGGGAGTGGGGCAGTGAGGGAGTGAAGGAGCAGGGCAGAGCAGAAGCGGGGCAGCGCAGGAGGATGGCAACGATGGAGAGAGGGAGCGGGGCAGTGAGGGAGTGAAGGAGCAGGGCAGAACGGGAGCGGGACAGCGATGGAGCAAAGGAGCGGGGCAAGGCCGGATCCAGGCAGCGCGGGAGCGGGGGTCTGGGGGGATCGCTGCAGGTCGCCAGAGCGAGGGGGCGGGGCAGTGGGGGAGCGCGTCAGCCGGTCAGCATAGGAACAGCGCTGAGCGCAGGTGCAGAGGGAGGGGCAGTGCAGGGAACCCGGGAGTGGGGCAGCATAAGAGCCAGGCAGAGCGTGGTAGCACCAAAGCTGGGCAGCATAGGAGTGGGGCAGCATAGCAGCGGGGCAGAGCGCGGGAGCCAGACAAAATAGAAGCAGGGCAGAGCGCCAGAGCGGAGCAGTGAGTGAGCATGGGGAGCCGGCAGTGGGGGAGCACGGGAGCCAGGGAAAGGCGAGCTCAAGAGCCAGGCAGCAACAGGAGCGGGGGCCAGTGGGTCAGAGAACCTGGGGCCAAGCTAGCAAGCTTGAGAGGCAAAGAAGAAGCCTGGGAGGGAGTGCGCAGTGCTCAGGGAGGGAGGACTAGAGCAGCACCGCCCCTGAAGGTCCCCTGAGGAGGTGTAGGAAAAGATCATGGAAAAGCCTGAATTCATGGTGACTTTGCAAATCCTTGCAGAGATTCCCCTGCGGAGCTGTACTGAGGACTCCCACATTGTCTTCTCCACAGCTCCAGTAACTCGTGTTGATAGTTGGGGCCCAGGAAGGACCCATGGCAAAGGCTGCATACACAGGGCTCCATCTGTCCCTAGTTCTGAGACTTTTCCTTCTACTGAGCTGTCTGGGATCCTTGCAGCCTGCTGGTGAGTTCCCGGGATTTAATTGGGGGGGGGGGACGACTCTGGACTACTGAGTCAGGAATGTCACAGTCTCCTCATTGGAAGCCTCTAGACTTCTCTTCACTATCACCAGGGCTTAAGTCCCAGCACCCTGTTCCTCACCTAGTCCCTCCCTGATTCTCTTTAGTGGATTGACAAAATTAGGGTGAAGAAAGTCACTGCTACATGAATGAGGAGGGCAGGGTAGCAGAGGGGGTAGCTAGTGACACCCTCAGCACCACTGGGATCAGCTGAAGTCTAAACCCAGTCACCAGTGAGGACCCCTCAAGAGGAGGTCTCAGACAGCTCCCCTGGACCTAAGGCATGCTGTGCTCTGAAGACTGCCTCCCTGGGATTCCTCACAAGTCCTCCACCACCCAGGGACAGCTTTGTCCTTGAAGGTTCTTTCCCACCTTCCCATGGTGTTCTCCAGACAATCACAACAGAAGCTTCCAGGGACAAGGTGGTCACAACCACATGCTTTTCTACTTTCTTTCTCTTTTCTTTACCTTCTTTCTTTTCTTGTTTTGTTTAAAGGCAGGATTTCAAACTATAGCACACACTATAGAAGCTGCAATAATCTCTACTCTCTTTCTCCATCTTCCAAGTTCTGGGATTACAGATTTGACCCACCAAGCTCAGCTCCAATACCCATGTGACTCCTCAACAGAGATCATCTGGCCTGTGAAGACTTCAATAATTATTTAGTAGTGATATTAGTTAGTTTTCTGTTACGGTGATAAAATACCAAGGCCAAGGTAACATACAGAAGGAGGGTTTTGAGGAGGCTTATAGTTTCAGAGGGACAAGAGTCCATCACCTCATCATCAATTGGCATGCTTGGTGGCTGGAGCAGCAAGCTTAGAACCCACATATTTTTAGTTTGGTTTGGGTTTTGGAGACAAGGTCTCACTATATAGTTCTGCTGTCCTAGAACTCACTATGGAAAACAGGCTGGACACAAACTCATAGAGATCTGCCTTCCTCTGCCTCTCAAGTGCTGGGATGAGAGCCCTGTGATACCATGCCCACCTGAGAGCCCATATCTTAAACCTCAAGCAAGGTCCAGAGATGAAGAAATGGGAATGGGTTTTAAAGCCACACCCCAGTGACATACTTCCTTCAGCCAGGACATATCTCCTAAACCTATCCAAACAGCTGTCACCAACTGGGGACCAAGTGTTCAGACACCCTACTCTATAGAGGACAGGCTCATTCAAACCACCACACTAGACATTCACAGGGGCATCTTGGGGTTCATCCCTGAGTGACAGTAATGAAATGATACAGAAAGAGGGAAGTCACTTGCTGCAAGGCTGGGTGTTGCCTCTTGTTGGGACCTGATCTATTCCACTAGGAAGTAAATCTGGGTCTGTCTTTGAGGTTGTTCAGTTTTAATTGTTTTATAGGTTTATGTCTTGACTGCATGTATGTATGTGTAGCACATATGTGCCTGGTGCCCTCGGAGGTCAAAAGAGGGCATTGGATCTCCTGGAACTGAAGTTACAGGCAGTGGTGAGCCACCATGTGTGGTTGGTAAACTCAAACCTGGATCCTCTGCAAGAGGAACAAGTGTCCTTAACCACTGCACCACCTCTCTAGCCCCAATGGTCCAGTTTAAACACTGGGCACAGGAGCCTGGGGTTTTCATGAAATAGCAGCTCTCAGCTCCTTGATCATCTGTCTTGTCTTTAATTATTAAAATCCAGCCACATCTGGGTTGACTAACCATCTATCTCTATTTAGGACTTCTGTGTTCTGTTAGCCATGACCCCCTTAAGCAGTTAGGCTTCAAGGTAGATCCCCTTCCTCATCAATGGACCACTACCCTTGATGTTACTGCCTCCTGATCACTCCACCTGATGGGATTTTCTGTACAATGCTGCTAGGATTCAAAGAAATACAGTTTCCTAACAACACCTGAGCCTTGAGTGATCATCATCCCTGAGGTTCCAGCAATGCTGGTGTCTTCTCCCTGGTCATTCTCACTGTGCTTCTCCACAGAGGTGCTCCAGGATCCCACTGAGCAGGATGCTTTCTGCTCACTCCCCTTGGAAATGTTTGCTGTTACATCCAGTCTGGCCCATGCACTTCTCAGAAATTTTTGATCACAGTCTTCTACTGGCAGATTTAACCAGCCTAGATTTTCTTTGTCCTGTAGTGTGGGCATGGTCATCCTCTGTCCAGTTCCAGGAAGCCACCTCTGGAGCACTGCAGTATGTCCAGGGATCTGGCACGTGTTATTCTAGTGTTATTCCTTTACTATGATAAAACACAACTAAAAGCAACTTCAATGAGAAACACTGCCTTGCTCAGTGTTCTATTGCTGTGAGGAGATACCATGACCATGGCAACTCCTATAAAATAAAGCATTTAATTGGGGCTTGCTTACAGTTTCAGAGGCTCAGCCCATTATCCTCATGGTAGGGATCATGGTGGGACACAGGCAGATAAGGAATGTGAGAGTTCCATATTCAGATCCAAAGGCAGCAAGAAGGGGGAGAGTCTGGGCTTGTCATGGGCTTTTTAAAACCTCTAAGCTTGGCCGGGCGTTGGTGGCGCACGCCTTTAATCCCAGCACTTGGGAGGCAGAGCCAGGCGGATCTTTGTGAGTTCGAGGCCAGCCTGGGCTACCAAGTGAGTTCCAGGAAAGGCGCAAAGCTACACAGAGAAACCCTGTCTCGAAAAACCAAAAAAAAAAAAAAAAAAAAAAACCCTCTAAGCTTACCCCCAATGACAGCCTTCCTCCAATAAGGTCACACCTACTCAAACATGGCCACAAAACTAGTCTCTCCCAGGCAGGGCCATTCCCTCATGACCAAGCATTTAGATATATGAACCTATGGTGGCCATTCTCATTCAAACACCACAACCCTGGCCTTGTGCAGTTTTCATCCCTGGGCATCTGCCAAGGCCTGTGCCTGTCTGCCTGGGCATCGTTGCCATGCTTGGTAAACAAGCGTTATCCATGCTTCTCTGTGGACATATTTCATATCACATCCTCTTTGGCACATCTCTGACTCTTTACACACCCTTCACTACCAGCTTTAGAAGTTCTGGATTTTTTCTTTCTTGCAGTATGGACCAGCCTCTGGCCGGGTTCCTGCAAGCCATTCCTGGAGGACATGGGCATTATCTCCAGAAAATTCCAACTGTTTGCTGACTACTAAAAGTCCTGTGTGTCCAAAGCATGGGGAGACAGCTGAGTGGTAGAGGGCCTGCTTCACAACCACGAGGACTCGGGTTCGATCCCTAGAACTCCTGGAATAGAGCCAGGCATGGTGCTGTGAGCTTTTATTGTCAGTTCTAAGAAGGCAGAGGCAGGGGAACCCTGGGGTCAGTGGCCAGTCTGTCTAGCCTACTTGTGAGTCCCAAGCCTCTTAGAGACCTTGTCTAATCAATACTATGGTGACACACTTGTAGGAGGTTATAAAAATATTTTCCTTATTAAATCTGGAGGTCTCTGTGTAAATACTTCTGAGACATATATGATTACTGTTATTTTTATGATTATTTATTGGTGCATATTTGGAAGTAATTGTATCAAGGATGCTTTTTTAAATCACCTTCATAATTACCTGTTCCTGCTTTACCAAAAGTTTCCTTTCATCACACTTCTAAGTGGATTTTTGTTACAGATAACTGGTGCTTATTCTATCTGATCCAGCAAAGTGCCGAGTTTGTAACTTTACTTCACAACCACAAAGCCTGTTCTCTGCTCCTGAGGGTTCATGTTCATGTGCAGCAAATCTTCCAGTGAGGTGTACTGAGTGGGAAAGGATCCCAGCCATTCAAAGACAAATCCAGGCCTTAAGAGTGGCAGGAAGAGGAAAGTGGGGGGGGGGGGACTGTGAGAGAGGAAGAGAACAGGTGGTGGAAGAGGCAGAGAGGAGAAGGGAAGAGGAAGCTGTTGAAGGGGACAGGAAAGGAGGTCCCCAAACCTGCAGCAGTCCACCTCAGAGCAGAGGTTTGGGGAGGGAGAAGGGAGAGAGTGATGTTTTTTAAACATCTCTTTTGCATTCTTTAGTGTAACTGCATTGCAAACGTGTTAAAAGTACCTTTAAATTATTATTTATTTTAGATTTGGGCTCACACCCACATAGGAGAGTGCATGTGTGCATCCTCACTAGGACTTCCTTCCTGTTTGTGCAGTCTGCTGAACAGAACAGCTCTAGGACATTGTGTCTTCTGTTGCTGTTAGGGCAAGTCTGGGAGACCAGGGGCCATAAGTGTGCTAGGAACAACTGCCTGAGGAAGGGGAGAGAGATCGGGGCTTCAAACAGGTCACAGACAGAGATCTCTGCTTTGGTATGAGTTAAGGGTGTGGTTTAACACCAGACAATCTGAGATCTGACGCCCAGTGTTGTCATGTGAAGGACACAGTGGGAACTCGGGTGAGCACTGTGCTCACAGGTGACAGCTCCCCTTCCCAGGCCGAGTTGCAGCATTTCTCCAGGAGGCCTTTCCTGAACTCCCAGGCTCCATGTGGAATTTACCACGTGTTCTATGATGCCTCCTTTCCCTGTGTGTTCAGTAGATTTTCAGTGCCAGGAACAGATACTATCTGATATATTTTATTCCTCAACACTTCATAAAAGTCACTAGAAGTGCGTGTGAGATAAATCCTCCTGTTGACACTGTGTGCATCTGAAGAGTCTTCTCAACTTAAGACAGTCAAAGATGGCACAGAATAAGGATCCAGATAATGATGGACATCTTGACTGGAGGCTTCTTTTCCTGCCCTTTTGAGCTTCAGAGGGATTCTGGGTGTCTCAGAACCATGAGTCCTGTGGCTTTCTGCTCCCACTTTGTACCTCACCTGCATGTTTCTCTCACAGACACACACTCTCTTAGTTGCAACGTCATGGTCAAGACTCATACCACACCTGGAGAGCCCTGTTGTGAAGGACGGTGCTCACTGGATAGAGAATCTTTCCTTCAGTATGATGACAACAAAGCCACACCTTTGGGTGACCGGGGAAAGGTGGTTCATGTCACTCAAATGTGGACAGATATTGTGCAAGAGCTGGAGATTTTGGGGCATGAATTCAGGAAGAAGCTGGCTGAAACCAAACAGAGGATGACCAAGATCCATGGTAAGTGGAGGATGGAGTTCAGAGGCAGAGACAGGTGGCAAGAGAGAGGAAGGGCAGAGCACATATCGGAATGAGATGGTGATTGTATCTGTGTGAAAAAACTGAGCATTGGCCCTACCTGGGAAGCATATGGTCCCCAATGGATAACCAAGTCATGTGGAAATGATGCTGGCTTATAAGCCAGTGGGAAAAGTCTTGCCCTTTGAGGAGGTGGTGGATCTATGAAAAGTGAAAAATGATGGCTTTGTATGTGGTTTGCAGGTCACCCCACATTACAGACCATCATACTTTCTCAGCTTGAACAAGGACAAATCATCGGTACCTTTTTGCAATTTAACATCAGTGGAAAGTACTGCATGCTCTTGAACACAATGAATATGAGCTGGACATTGATTAGTCTTGAAGCTGGAGATATCATGAATGAATGGAAGAATGATGAGGAACTAAACAAGTATCTGAAAAGCCTCATGAAAAATTTCTGTCACTGGCTCAAGGAACTCTTAAAGCTCCCCTGGGAAAGGCCAAGTAGGTATTACTTAAACAGAAGGCAATTCCATCAAATTTGATAGACTAAGAGAGTGATTTTTTGGTAGTGTGCCTGTCTGGGGATCCAGTGATGACCACGAGACTCTCTGTTCCCCATCTCACCTTCCAATGTTTCTCATTCTCTAGTAACTGACATGACCTGCTAAGGGGACCCAAGTTTGTCTGCATCACTGTAAACTTCCAGCCCTTTCTGCCTCACTTACAGCTGCCCTTGCACCATCTCCACATCACTTTGAAAGGTCTCACTATCTTTCTCTGACACAATTAAACTCCATCACTTGTGCCAACATCCAGAAAGTTCTACCCACAGTAAATATGTCACGTTGCTTGATGGTTTGATAGATATTTGCTTCTTCAGTGATGAAATAAACTCTGCAAGGACATCGTACACACAACTCTCCTCCCCTCTCTATTCAGGAAGTGTAAAATGGTTGTTACACATGAGTTCCTTGGGCTGCCTGGGGAGAGAAGTTGTTGATGGAGGTGTGTTTTTAGCTTTATCCATAATTTTCCTGATTTTTTTTAAGGATCAACATCAAGGGCCCCAGATATCACCCAGCTTCCACCAACTGTAAATATCACCCAGCTTCTACCTACCATAAATATCACCCAGCTTCCATCCACCACCAAGTTTCAATATAAGGAAGTACTCATATTCATCCCCCTGGGACTCATGATCATAGCCATTGTTGTTTGCATTTGGATGTGTGTGAAGAGGAAATCCCAAGGAGGTAAGGAGCAGGCTGGACTCTTAGGATTACGTTGTTGAGTACTTGTAACAGAAACCCCACTGAATATGTAGGATGTGCATTTTGGTCTTCATGCTTGCAAAGGTATCTTCTCACTCTTCCCCCATGATGACCCTTAGACAGTCTTGCTGCCAGTTCAATATGCTACCTTTGTCTCAGACAATGAGAACTTAATGTAAGAAGCTTCCAGACACCTCACGTGCATGCTTTCCTGTTATGGCCCTTAGAGGGAATCATTCAGAAACCATTGCAAATTTATTTTCATATAATCAACTAGGACTGGCCATTTATTCTTTCTGTCTCACTTTCCTCTGTGCCACAGGCAATTGAGAGGCTTCTGACCCCAGAAATGGCCCTATCTGAGAAGTGGTTGTGTGTCCTGGGACTCTAAATCACCTTAATTTCTCAGCAGTATTTCCCATGGTACATTGGGGTACAAGCTAAGCAGTGACTTGCAGACTTCTCTGCTGGGGTAAAGGGCTAATTACTTTTAGATTCACAGTGTGGAGCTTTGCATCTCACTTTAAAACCTCTCCAGTAAGAAATCTTCAGATGCCCATGAACTGCTCCATGAACTGCTGCAAGCCACAGAGGAAAGAGAGGCCCATGGAGCCAAGTGGAGAGTTCCCCAACCAGGCCACCAAAATGTTGTCCCAGGAGGATGAGCCCCAAGACATGAAGGTAAGAGTATTCACTAAACAGACATCTCCATCACCCCATCCAAGAGTCGGGAAACCTCTCACAGAGGGGAGAAGGATGTGAGAGAACACTGCTTTCCAGCCGGGACATGGCTGTTGAACTCTCAGCAGCTCTGAGGACTTGCACAATCCCTGCAAAAGAGCAGGCCTGTCAACCTTCCCTTCATGGAGGGAGGGGGGCTCATGAGGCTCCAGAGCTCCCTAGAATCTATCTGCAGTTAATGGTGCTGGAGCGGGGAGAGACATTTTGTTCAGTGGTGTGGCCACTAGGAAGGACCCCATGTTCTTATAAATGATTCCTCACCCTCACTGCATGAATAACCCCAAATGGAATCATTGGGTCAATAATAATCTAAAAATAAACACTAAGATGAGAGTAGAGGAAGAGTAATTGGGAAGAGGAAGTGAGCTGGAGGAGGTAGGAAGGGGACATGAGAGGAAATAGAAGGGTTGATATGACCACAATGTCTTGTACACATTTATGAAAACACCATAGTGAAAGTCAATTATTATGTGTCATGAATGTGCTATGACATTGTTTAAAGATTGATTTTCACTTTTATAATGTGTATGAATAATGTAGCATTATGTCTGTATGTAACATGTGTACCTGCTGCTTCCAGAGCCAGAAGAGGACATCGGATCCCCTGGAACTGGAATTACAGATGGTTGTGAGTACTGGGAACTGAACCCAGGTCTTCTCCAAGAGCAGCAAGTTCTTTAACTGCTAAGCCATCACTCCAGCCCTCTAATAAATTTCTTAAAAAGAATATAAATGTTTGAATATTATTAAACACAGGGAATGTCTTATAGCAAATTTCATAATACAGTTTAATGTTTCATATTCAAAAAGTAAATCCATCGTTTTAATGACTGTGGATTGTAATGCCAAGGAATGATATTATCTGTAGTGATGTACTATTGAAGCATGTTGAAAGGATCTCACAGGAGCTTAATAAGGATGCCAGATAATATAGCAATATCAAATAAAACTGGTAAATATAAGTTATGTACTGGGGGGTTTTATGTCATAAGCTAAAGTTGTCTGAGAAGAGAGAACCTCATTTTAAAAATTCTTCCATAAAGCAAGGCTGTAGGCAAGCTTCTAGGGCATATACTTAATTCCTGATTTATGGGAGAGGACCCAGCCCATGGTAGTGGTCCTTTTCTATAAGAAAGCAAGCTGAGCCAGTTATCAGGAGCAATCCAGTAAGCAGTACCCACTCATGGCCTCTGCATCAGCTCCTGCCTCCAGATTCCTGCCCTGTTTGAGTCCTGTCCTGACATTGTTCAAATGATGAACAGTAATTTGAAAATGGAAACCTAAACCCTTTCCTGCCAATGTTCCTTTGGTCATAATGTTTCCTCACAGCAATAGTAACCCTAACTAAGACAAGTTGGTACCAAGATAGTGTGGTATTTTTGTGACAGGCCTGGTCATAGGTTTTGGGGAGGTTTGTAGAAGGACTTTGTAACTTTGAGCTAGAAAAGCCATTGAGTGTTGAGAGCTAACTGGGACATTCTTTAGGAACTTGGAAGATAAGAACGTTGAACAGTGCAAACAATGGAGGCCTGGCCTGTGAACTTTAGGGAAACAGACTCTACTGGGCCATTTGAATGAAGAGTCAATGGTTCTGGGTGTCTGGGGCTGGAGAATCAGCTGTGATTAACAAGATACCAGCACTACTAAAGTGAAACCTTTGCTGGGGAACTCGATGCTGGTCAGCTAGAGCTGAAAAATTAGTGGTGATTACAAAGAGAAGAGCATCTTTGAGGTGAAATCTTCTGGAAAGTGCTTCCTGACAGTCAGCATACAAAGGCTGTGTTCCAAACTTGTCCAAGGTTGTACCTTGTGCTGGCACCTGAACTTAGTAAAGTCCACCCAGGTGGTGCTGGTTTTGAAGGTGTGAAGGGGTCATGGAGAGAAGGCAAGGCTGGCACTATATGGTATAGTTGGAGTCGATGAAGAGAGCGTAGGATTGGCTACTAGTGAAAGTGCAGTTGGAGCAGAAGACCCCAGCATTTTGGAGGTGCTAGGACCATGGGATGACCACCAAGAACAGCAGCAGCAATGGAGTGGAGCCGGCCAGAGCTTAGAAGACAAGCTGTGTGTGTCACAGAGGGGGAGCTGGAAAAGCGACTCAAGAGCTGATCGTGTGCAAACCACAGTTCAACTGTGGACCCTGTGTTCGGGTTCTCACGGGGACTCCATCACTGGGCCTCTTCTCAGTCAAGAGTTTTTGGTGAAATCAGACTCCTAAAGACCAGATCAAAAGCAAAGTCTAAGAAAATGCAGAATGTAAGAACTTGCAGGGAAAGGTTAGGAAATTCCTAGATGAGCATCCTGAGACACAACAGCAGAAGTTATCCACCAAAGGAATAGCAGAGACGTAACCTGTCTTAGTGATGTAAGCTGTGTTAGTGATGGAAGCTGTCTTAGTGTCCTATTGCTGTGTACAAAAAACATAACCATGTCAACTCCTCTTTTATTTTTTTCCTTTGGTTTTTTTGAGACAGGGTTTCTCTGTGTAGCTTAGGAGACTGCCCTGGAACTTACTCTGGTGACCTGGCTTGCCTTGGACTCACAGAGATCCACCTGCCTCTGACTCCTGAGTGCTGGGATTAAAGGTGTGTGCTGCCACTGCCTGGCCCATGCCAACTCTTTTCAAGGAAAGCATTTGACTGGGGCTTGCTTACAGTTTCAGAGGTTTAGTCCACTGTCATCATAGCAGGGATGGCATCACACAGCAGACATGGTGCTGGAGAAGTACCTGAGAGTTCTACATCAGGATCCACAGGGACAGAAAGAGAGGGAGACAATGGGCCTGGCTTGGGCTCTAGAAATCTCAAAGGCCAGCCCCAGTGACACACTTCCTCCAACATGGCCACACCTACCCCAACATGGATTCACCTCCTAATCCTTCTGAGTAATGCTACTCCCTGATGACAAAGCCTTGAAATTCATGAGGGCCATTCTTCAAACCACCACATAAGCCCACCTCCTCAGATTCCCTGTGTCCTGCACCTCCACTCCAGACTGGGGCCTGATCAGTGGTTGTAAAGTTCGTCCTTCCCCACATTTCTACAGTGTCTTGCACAAAGCCGGCATCCACACACCCAGGAGCACAACAGCTGTGCAGACAAAGCCTGTCACACTATTCCACTCTGCCTGCTGATATCAAACCAAGACATGATCACACAAACCGATTGGGTCTTATGAAAACTGGTGTTGGACCAGACATTTTACTTGGGTGTCTCTCTCTCTCTCTCTCTCTCTCTCTCTCTCTCTCTCTCTCTCTCTCTCTCTCTCTCTCTCACACACACACACACACACACACACTCACTCACTCACAGCACAATGTGAACCTATCACGGACCGAATTACCAACAGCACAAATGTCCAACTTGGGAACCACTGGATTTCCTTGGGGTCACTAACAGGAGTGTGGTGAGGAGTTACAGGAGCTGGGATGAGTTCACAGCAGCTGCATCACTACAGAGGTCACCTCAACACAGGTGGTGACTCTGGGAACAGCAGAGCTGAAACTGTACAGTGTGCAGGGCTCTGGACAGGTCTGAGATCTTCTCTGAAGCTATGCTAATCAGAGTCTTCTCTTTCACCACTTGGTTTGTCCTCTAAAACTTCTGAGTTTTACTTTCTTAAACTCAAGGAGTTACTTAATTCCTGAGTCTGAGGAATCTCTCTCTTCCTCTGAAGAAAGTGTTGCTGTAGGAGGAAAGACCAAAAGCTACAGGTGACTTTTCTATTAAGGCAGAGAACTTTGTCCCACAGACAGATGAAATTTTAAAATTAGCCCAAAGTGTCAACTCTGCAGAGGACCCAAGTTATTTGATTTCTAGTTAAGCTGTCTTCCATTTCCTTAGGAAGGCCTTCTTCAGAAAAAAACCACTTCACAATTTAACACTTCTGTGTACAACCAATGAAATAGAGCAGAAAGTAGAGCAGGGTGTATCTATAATTATAAATTTCAATCATCCCTGGTATCACTCAGATGTTACATGAGTTTCTTCTGAGTAACCTGGGAGCTTCAGACATTCAAATCTGAGAATCAATGGAATGAACACACTAAGCACACTCCACTCACTCTAGACCAGTGGTTCTCAACCTTCCAAACACTGTGACCTTTTAATATAGATCTTCATGTTGTGGTGACCCCCACCATAAAGTTATTTTTGTTGCTACTTCCTAACTATAATTTTACTACTGTTATGAATCATAATGTAAAGATCTGATATCCAGGAAAACTGATCCATAGGTTGAGAACCACTGCCACCATGCAGAAGGTTAATGCCTGTCTGCAAAATGAGGAATGGTGTATGAAAAAAATAGATTTTTAAGACAGATATACTCCTAATCAAATCTTAACACAAGAAACACTTTCTTTAGACTAATTTTTAAATCAAGTTGCCTTGCTTAGGAGGGGCTTTTGTGGGGCTTCAGTTTCCAATTACTGGGCCATGGCTATTATGAGGACTAATAAGAGAAAAGTTTTTTTTTTTTTAAATAATGTAGGGAAAGACAATTCTTAAAAGCAAGTACTACTGGGTGTGGTGTCATAAAAAGCTACAAGAAAATTCCATCCTTCTTGAACAATGATTAAAGTCATTCCAGTCACAGAAAACTCCTTTTCTTGAACTGTGAAGAGAGCTGAGACCATACATCAGCCAGCTGGGTGAACTGAACTAAAAAGAATGAGAAACTCCTCTGAGAAAGGGCAGGATCATTACTTCCCTCTTTTCCTAAGAACAGAAGAAAGGGGTAGCCACTCTACATAAAATGAGAAGTCACAAGTTTCAAGATGCATAGACCAAAGGTAAACTTCAATGTGTCACTACAGCTGGGGACGTCAGTACTCTTCTCTCAGTAGTTGAGAGAAGTTCACAACAACAAAAACAAAATCAGGATTCCCACAGGAGACTCAACAGGTTTCTTTGGCTAACATTTCTAGAATATATGTTCTGTTTCAATTCATGTGGGACATCCACAAGAAGGCTCTTTATTTTTCTCAGTTTTGTTTTGTTTTGTTTTGACCCAGGGACTCACTATATAACCCTGGTTGTCCTGGAACTCACTATGTAGACCACATTGGCCTTGAACTCATGGAGATCCACCTACCTCTGCTGACCAAATACTGGGATTAAAGGCGTGTGACACTCTGAAAGGTCATTTTTGAGCCACCAAATAGAGTTTAAAATACATAAAGGGTAGATTGTAGTAGAATCCTTGTTCCAGATGTGTTACAATCTTTTATATTATGGAACATTTGTTTAATGATGCAAAGATGTGTTGCATTCTTTTATGTTGCATTTGTTTAACTCTATGAAGCTGTGTTACTTTGCCTGC